ATGTTCAGCACCACCACAGCTGAAGCCCGAGGCCCGGGGGCCACACTGGAAATAGCCGGCAGGCGTCAGCGACGCCCCGAGGCCGGGAAGCCCCAGCCGCCTCAGCACCCAGCTGCTGGCCGCTCGCCAGCTCCTCTCTGCCGTGACCCTGGACTCCCAAGGCTCGCTCACCTGACACCCGGTGCTTTGGTTAATTTACGCAATGAGACGATGTGGCCCGTATCAGTGTCACTACGCTAGTAAATGTACTCATACAGTGGAGATTTACTGCAGCTTTGTTAATGTGCTGCTCTCTAGCATTTAACCCATACTAAAGACATCCCATTACATCATTTTATTTCACTAAATTCTATAAGATAATTTCAGTTCACAGAATTCCACAACATCATTTCAGTTCACTAAATCCTAGACGATCAGTTATGTCAGGGGCATAGCTAGAAATTCTGGGCCTCCTGACAAAATGTCACATTGCCAACCTCCCCCCTAGGGTTGCCATTATCAATCTGAAGAATTACAGGAGTTATAATGTTGCCAGAGTGTATAACTTTTGGACAATGGATGGATAATGGAAAATGGCTATTATATAGGCAAATTCAAAAACTTGACAGCAATGACGGCAGGAGGAAAGCATAGGCTGAGCTGACGGGTTAAAAATGACTGTCCAGTTAAATAGCGAGGTCTTGGCTTACAGCACAGTGCTGGAGTCACCCTGGAGACAGAATGAGGGGGAAGAACAGTCAGCCTTGGGTGATTCATAGAGATGCTGAATGTTTAAGAGGTTATGAAGTCAGCACTTCTAAAAGTTCTTTGCTATAGAGAGTATGGATGTTTGATGTTTCTATGCTGGTGAATTCAACATCTATTCTTGGGGCAGCACTGTGGGCTCCTGCAGGGTTGGGGGTTCCAATTCTGCCTTCAGATCTGTGTGTGTATGTGTAAATTCTGGCCCCTCATGGACCGAAATCATGTGGTGAGATGAATCGGCATCTGTAACTCGCCTCTTGATTCCTGGGATTGGCTCCATGCTTACCGTGACCCTACACTGGATAAGGGCTATGGAAGACAGACAGGTGGATCTGTGCTTGCGATGGGGTGCTGTCCAGGGATCCACAGCCATTTACTGCTGCAGTGACAGAGTGTCCGAGTCATGAGGGAGGGAGACTGCATGGAGGGAGTCTCTGGAGATGAATATAGACCACGAGGCCTCCGGATTTCATGAATATGCATGTGAATGATGAATACTGCGCATGATGCAGACTAAAGCAGGCGCTCCATGTGTCATGCTCAGTCAGACGGTCAGTGTGGGTCTGTTCATTTGGCTTTGTGTTTGCCTCCGGGAGGGGGGAGTGGATGTCAACCGGCCTGAATGGAGACTGCCAGTGTGCCAGGAAGGAACAGAAAGGGTTTTCAGAAGTGAAGACCGTTGGGGATCTAGCCTGACCTCATAAGTCTGAAGAGATGTGAAATTCAGCTGCTGAAGTAAGCAGCCAACCCCAAGTCCTACACGAGCTACTGGAGATGGACTGTGTGATGAATGTTAAAGCCTTTATTTGCCATTTGCACAAGTACATCAGAATTCTTCTCTTCACCTACCTCACCTACCATCTAGCTCTCCATAGCTTGGGGGGGCGTTTACAGCGCAGGGTCAGCCAAATGCAGCACCCCAGGAGCCGGGGGTTAAGGGCCTTGCTCAAGAGCACACAGACCTGTGATTGTTCTGCCAAGGCTGGGGCTTGAACCAGGCACAGAGCTCAGAGAATTAGTCCGCCGATCCACTCACCTGCGCGTTTTGTCACACTGAAACAGCACAGATGCCACCAGGCCTGCTCATCATGACCCTCATACGGCTGACAAAACCTGTGACTGTTGGGAATAGCTTAGTGCTTATGGGACAAGCGCTGTGGGAAAACGTGACCGTGTCCACAAGTGCCAGGCTACAGAGGAGGGCTAGGGGAAGATCCAGAATTTCTTCTGAGCCTGTGACAACTGCTGCGATCTGCTCAAACACCAGTCTGTGGAAGCAAAACGTTGCTGTGAGCATATCAGGGCTTCTCATATTGCTCCGATGAGAGGAGTAATTAATAAAGACCATCACACAGACTGCAGTATACAGACAGTGCCTCAGAATCGCCAGGGATTTTTCCACACAGATTGGATTGTGCTGTGGCAGAGCCTGGGCCAGCGCCGTGCGGGAACTCAAAACGTAACCTCATTTCAGTGGTCTTTGGCAGCCCCAAGACCCCAAAGCACAGGCGTCCTCATAAGTCTGCATCCCTGCAGTCAAGGCTGGTGTTAGTGAGCTGACTGGGTGCTGCTGTGGAAACACATGGTGTGTCAAGGGCCTCTTTACCTCGTCAGGACGTCCCACTGAACGCAGTGGGTGACAGCCGGCCCTTTTTTTCAGCCCCCCCCCCCAAAGCGAAGGGTCCATACCTGAAAACAGACTGTTAGGCATCGGTCTCTCTAAATGAAAGGATCTTTAAAAAGATGTCAGGGGAAATCAGGAGAAAATACGTAGTTTAACGGAGAGAATGAGTCCAGCCATCTGCCGCAGCACTTAACGGAATGAGCATCTTTGGTGTTGCCTGCTCCCGCCGTGGTTCAGTAAACGTGCCAACATTACCAGCAGTAAGGCCTTTGTTTTCCAGCTCTACCATGGTACTAACCTCTGAGCGGCCAGAAACACAAAGGATGACTGAATAGGCATTTCTGTCATGTCATCATTAGGTGGTCCCCCAAAACATTCTGTCACCCGGACTTGCCCACCATTGAGGTGTCAATAAACTCTACCAGCATCTGTCCGTTCTCCATAGGAAAATAGCATCTGACACAAATAAATCTGCTTGCCTTGGTTGTTTAATTTTTTTGTTTGGTCTAATCATTACAGATTTGTAAGGACCTACACTTTATGCAGCAAAGTATTTCTGCGTTCGAAGTGCATGCACTGGTATCTGTGTCTGTTCACATTAATAACCTGCTCTTAGGTAGATGTAGCCATTCACTTTGTGGCCACATTTGGTGACCTGTACGGATCTCTGGTTCCTTTCTGATGCAGATGCTATGGTGAGGTTACTGCGGTCATGAGTGAGTGCCTGTCCTTCTGTGTCACTCAATACGATTCGCCTTCGGTAAGGTGCGTCTGACTCAGCAAGCCAGCCGTCAGTATCGATCCAGCTGCCCGGCCAGCCGCATTTTAAATGGAGAGTTTAATTTATGCTGAAAGGCAGAGTAATCCGATGAAGCTAAACTGGACAGACGTCCTGCTTGTTACCAGGGTTACCACCGAAACATTTAATTCATTTCTGGAATTTATATTTGGCCAGGAAGTCCAATATGTCTTTGGGTGTGACCTTGTGAATTTTTCATTCACCACTGACGGGGACATTTTCCCATGATGGAACAAACGTCATGGTGTGTCTAAGTGCCGCGCGTCCGGTGACCGAAGCTGCTCGGAAATCTTGCACCCACACGTCAAGGATTTCCCTTCCAGTCATGGTCACAAATAGCTACTAAAACGTACCACATAAACACACACGTTTGTATTCGTATTCAGTTATAGTCAGCTCTGGCTTGCTCACTAGGGGCTTTGGGCAGGGATAATGTAAAATGCTTTGAGACGATGTAATGCGCTATAAAAATAAAATTGAATTGAATTGATATTTTTGTAGGGACCATCCTTTTCCATGGGCAAAACCCAAACCCCAACAATGACAACTTTAAGTCCTACCCAGCCCTAACCTTAACCATATGTGACCAAACAAAACACAAGACTTTGGCATTTTTAGTTTTTTGATTGCAGTCACATTTTTATAAAGTTGAGTTTCCCCTCGTGGGGACTGAAAAAAATGGTTCCCACAATGTCAAAATAACAGTTTTTTTTTTTTTTTTTATCATATTCCGGGGACATTTGGCCCCCACGATGTAACATGTACATAACCCCCCCGCAGACACACCCCAGGCTCAGGCCACATTACACCTGAGGCACGTAGCTAAACCCCAAACCTAGTAAGCGCCAGTGTGTGGTTCAAAGGGTTAGTCTGCTGTACCTGTGATGGGAAGATCACTAGTTTAAATCTGAGTGTTGACAGAGTGATGTCACTGGTGGACCCCTCAGCAAGGCCCTTAACCCCCCAGTTGCTCCAAGGATTGGCTCAAAAATGCATGTTGCTTTGGATAAAGGCACCAGTTAAATAAATCAAATGTAATATGTGTGCAATATTCATGCTGTCCAATCAGCACCTTGATACGCCACACCTGTGAGGTGGGATGGATTATCTCGGCAAAGGAGAAGTGCTCACTAACACAGATTTGTGAACAATATTTCAGAGTAATGGGTCTTTTGTGTATGTAGAAAATGTTTCAGATCTTTGAGTTTAGCTCATGCAAAATGGGAGCAAAACCGGAAGTGTTGCGTTTATATTTTTGTTCAGTGTATTTACCTTCCTGCTGTAGCTCAATCGCATGAGTTACCTGTGAAATACGGCTTTGCTATTCGTTTTTAAGCACTCAATGGATTAGGCTCACAATCTGTTAGCTCCATATTCAGCCCCCTGGTCACTTAGTTCATCCTCATAACAGCTCCTCCTCAGTTCCACTCACACCTCAGAGCCAAAGGTCACCAGGTTTTCTCTGTAGCTGCTCCCAGAATTTGGAACAGTCTCCCGTTCGACATTCAGTCCTGCTCTACTATTAATGAGTTTAAATCTAAATTAAAAACCCACCTTTTTTCTCTTGATTTCATCTCAGTTTGAGGTTCTCTTGTTATTGTCAAGTCCACCATTAAGTTACTTTTATTCATTAATAAGGAGCAGAGGAGGAGGGCCCTCTAAAGGCCATATGCAGGAACTGGCCACCGTCCAGTGTCCTTAACTGCTACAACCCTTGTCGTTGCTAGATGCCACATACACCTCACACAGTCAGAGGTGCATTGCGGCTCACCCACAGCTTGGGACGACACACCCACAAACACACAAATGAAGACAGACGAAAAGGGTCAAAACTTAGAAGAGCTTTTTACACAACATTTAATTTGGGACATGATCATACCTATACAAGTCTTTCTGAGGACAGGACCCAGCTACTAAGCGGTACAAAGACACCATCTCATTATTGTTCTTCTGAGTCAGTACGCGGTTTGGTCCAGTAACACGGTTCAGAGTAGTGGTTTGTTCTGACCTCGAGCAATAATGGTGGCAGAACACATGCAGTCTATTACACGTTTACATCCGGGTAAGACGACAGTGACAGCTTTTTAAAACACATGTAGCTGATAAGGCTCCAGGATACAGTTACACAGCGACGGACGTCACTGCTGGACGGGGGGGAGCACCACATATTTACACCCCTATTTACATACTTCAGAAGGAGGGGGAAAAAACAAAAACCATTTTGTTGTGAACAAGCTGCCATCCACAGCTTTACATATTTTTATTTATAAAACAAATATTTACATATAGCTGCAACATATAGTTTATTGCCAATGCCCTTAAAATATATCCCCTATATTCTCATGTGTCTCCGATTTCAAGGCTGCAGAGCCATGCACCTCTTTGAGGAGAGAGCCTGAATGAGGGAGTGAATAAACAAATGAAGGAGCGAGCGAGCGAATGAACATACAAACGAAAGTACGAACAAAACCCAACAACAGAACACTGCCCGGTGGCGACATGATCCCAGCCTCTTTTTCCTGGCAGTGATCATGGGGGCCGCAGTTCTCACTCTCAGAGGGACTTAACAGCAGTCCTTATAAAACCTAAAACTGGAAACGTTACATATACAGACATCCCTTTAAAACGTGCCTTTAAGAGAACTACAGTACAAAGAGATGATTAAGAAAAAGACGGCGTTACACTGGCGGATGTGTTGATTCTTTAGCTGGAGTTGGAAGGTTGTCGGAGACTGGGCAGGAAATCATTCACATAATTTGACAGCAGTTCCTAATAGAGGGGCTAGATTTTCCAAATCAAGAGCCCACCTTCTCGACACCCACCTCCCCCATTTCTGTGATCACTTGAATGCCTTCTGTTTATTTTAAATCCTTCAGTACATCTGACGGTGTTCAATGCCCATACAGCCAGGGTGACAGCTTTGTCTGTGCGCCCATACCACCGCAGGGCCGGACCCATTAATACTAAGACGCAATTGGCACACGCTGTGCGACCATCCAATACTGACAAACTCCTTCCTCTAGAAGACTTTCTACCTCATATGATGCTGGGTTTAAAGACTGCATTGTTAGGAGGAGAACCTCCTATGCTGGTTCATGTGATGCCCCATTTAAGTGTGTGACTCTCTCTGTCAATGTGACCTCTCCCCGGGTACAATGCTTAAGGATGCACCTAAATCAAAGTGTAAATCTATTCGATTGTAAAACGGGATAAACATTTAAAATCACGACTTATGTCCCTGAAGTTAAAAGCAAAGATTGTCTGCGTGCAACAAGTAAAAGCACCTCAGGGTAAAATTAAAAATTAAAAAAAAAAACCTGATTTGCTTAAAATGACTTGTGTACACACCTCTTAAGACTCAAAGGGGTACATTTAAAATAATCAATGATTCTTATCGGCTTTATGACTTTCAGCCATCGCCGCCAGCCCCTGCCACAGTCACCCGGACGGCGAGAGCTGCCAAGGCCATAATTCGCCCACCCTAAGTGCTTCCCCTGGACCGCCTCAGGTGCTCTCTGTCCTAGACACCTGACCTCAGCCCCATATCATTCACTTTCGCCTCGTCTTTCTATAGAAGTCTACCTTTCATCAAACTGTGACGAGATTGCCCCAAAGCATCTGTATGAAAGAAACAAACGAATGAACAAACAATCATGTTTGCTGTGGGGGGGGGGGGGCAATCAAAAAGAAGCAAAGCTAACGAAAATGAAAACACGGCCTCTGGGAAACGCCGTGTCACACGCTGAGGGTCAGGCGGGAGCCAGAAAGTTGACAAGACAAACCGAGGAAAACTGGTGGGGGTCACTCGTGGCCACTGAAAAAGGTTTACCAGACCTGCTACAGACGGTGGGGGGGTTCTGTCCGACCTGCTGCGGTCATATGACCTGACAGCAGCTAGCCTGGCTGGAGGTGTACAGCAGCCCGTCGGCTGGATGGTGCTGAATGTTCACAGAGATGGTCTTCTCACACAGAGGTAGCTGTAGGACGCTGTTCTTCAAGTTCATGTGCTTCTCCCTGGCCGCCAGGTCCAGCTCCCCGATGGAGGCTGAAACGGGCCCACGGGCCAGAGCACCAGGGCCGTTGTGGAGCGACTCCCCGTCCAGGCAGCCCCCGGGGCCCACACACACCCTCCAGGAGAACTTTTCCTGCACCTTGACACCAGAGAAGCCCTGAGGGTCTATGATCAGCTTGGCCATGCCTGCTGCACCCAGGGGGCGTAGCCGCGAGCCAAGGCACAGCCTCATGAGCTTCAGGCCCTCCACCAGCTCCCCAGTCGCCCTGGCAGAACTCCGGGTGGAGCCTGAGGCGGCCTTGCTGCTGCCACTGGAGCAGCTGGATGGGCTCCCCTGGGCCTTCCCTCCGCCACCTCCCGTCCCACCCCCACCGCTCCTGTCCGGCCCCTGTCCGGCATCCCCAGGCGGCTTGCCCTGCCCGCCTCCACTGCTTCCCCCCCCGTTGCCCCCTGGGTTGCCCGGAGGGCCCTCGCTGCTGTCCCTGCGGTTCCAACTGTAGCTAAAGCCAGTGTCCTTGTCCAGTCGGCGCCGGTGGCTCTCAGAGTCGTCGTCGCTGGTCTCCGAGCTGGAACAGCTAGAGCCGCGGCCCTGGCTCTTGCGGCGAGGGAAGCGCTTGTGCGCCGTGCCTGGCGAAGCCATGCTCATCTTCAGCCGGCTCAATTTCGGTGGCAGCCCCTCATCCATAGCGAAGTCGTCGTCCGACTCGCCCTCCTCCTCGAAGATCTGGTTGAGCACGGGGGCGCTCTTGCGTGACGTCAGCCGGTTGGTGACGCTTGAAGGCTTGCGGCGCAGCACCACCTGTGTCGGCAGTGGTGCTGGCTCCTGCTCTTCCTCTTCCTCCTCATCCTCCTCCACCCTGAAGAGGCACGTACGCTGCTTGGCTGCGGCGCAGGCCCCGCCTGGCTTGAGGGTAGCGGGGGCCGGGGGCAGCTGCGGTGGCGGGCAGCCTCCAGGGGGCACCGGCGGGGGCTCCCCAGGGTCCTCTCGCCGTCCCAGCTCCAGCAGCCCCTTGGCACGGTGCCCATTCAGCAGGTTCTCAGCGCTCCTAGCAGGAGACTGGGGGCCCCCCGCATGTGAGATAGATGATGCTGCCAGGCTGTCCTCGATGTCCTGATGCATGTCGATCTTCGTCGGCCACGACTGCCTGTGGAGGAGAGACACGCCTCGCATCACATGACACCTTCACCCCACAGACCAGAACGCCATCCCATAATAAAGCCAAAGTCAAGTCAAAATGAAAGATTTACCACCCGACAGAGTGCCGGCTAGCCAAGGTATGACAGTGCGACCCCTCTGGGTGGCCGGTACCTGAACTGGGCCTTGATGTTGCTTGGGCTGGACGAGCGCGTGTGGACCTCTTTCTCCTGCTTCTCCTTCAGGATCCTCTCGGCCAGCAGGTAGTATGTGGCCGTGATGTGGTTGTACTTGTCCGTCTCCAGGGCCCTTGAGACACAGACAGGAGTAAAACATCAGGACTACAGAGCGCGGGAGCAAAGGAGATCCCGGAGATCGGAAAGTGATCAGGAATGAAGTGTGATGTCGGGTCCAGCATGGCCTCCACGTACACACGGCCAGACTTCACGTGGACCCTTCCCAGCAGCCACTACTCTGAGGTCCAGGGCAGCAGACAGTAATTACAGTGGTTTTAAATCGACTCCCAAGGGGACGAAGGATGAATACTTAATCTGCAGAATGACCTTGGCATCTGAAGTTACTCAAGGCTGCCTTTCAGAGATCATACCAAAACGTTGGGGCGGGGGGGGAGAGGGAGGGGGGGGGGGGGGGG